TGAGGCAGGCGGTTCTCCAAAAACTTGGGCTATGTAGTGAGTTATAGGCCATCCCAGAGTACACAACAAGACCCTGTCTCAAAACAACAACAATGGGGCTGGGGATTTAGCTGAGTGGCATAAGCGCCTGCCTTGCAAGCACACAGACGTGAGTTCAATCCCTGGTACCGATAAAAAACAACAACAACAATAGCAAAACCCAGGAAAAAGAATGAGCAGTCCACACTCCTGGCAATTTAGGTTTACAGCCACTACGTAAACCACTGTGTAGTCTCATCAACCCATTTACCATGAGCAAAAGTAGAATCAAGAAATGTGTGACTAAAAAAAATGAAAAACAGAGAGCTCTGTGACTGGCTGAGTGAACTAGAACTTGAACCCAGATCTCCGTTCATTCAGACACCTGTTTGGGAGGGTTACAAAAATGGAGTGTGTTCCTTGTTTGCCAAGCCAATTACTCTGAGGACAAGCTTGGTGTTCTGAATGGAGGTTCCAAAGAGACCTGTGTCACAGGCAGATGGGTTTCACGGCAGTGTGGGAGGACAGATTAACCGAGCACCTGTTTTCTGCATCAAGGCTGGGACTCCCGACTCCTTGGACGGGCACCCAAGACCGGCACCCAAGTGGGCTGCTGGGAAGCCACGGAAGGTCTTCTCTCTCTGCTCCTCCCTCCTCTCCACCCCATTTTCTCATCCCCCTGCGCCCTCTTAAGCCCCAAGCCCACTCCTGCCCACCCTGGGAAGCCATCCCCCGAGCGCACACCACTGACTCTCCTGGGAACCTCAGTCCGTTATTCTCTGCTGTACACTGGCTGGGCTGCTTTTCAGCTTTGTTGATTGCAATCTAGAGTCAGAAACCTATATTTAACTTTGCCCCCGACCCCCATCTCTCTCTTTTCTCTGGGGAAGCTGGGGGATGGGGCGAGACAGAGTCTCCCTATGTAGTTCAGGCTGGCCTTGAATTCACTATGCAGCCCAGACTGGCCTCCAACTCAAGGAACTCCTCCTGCCTCAGCCTCCCCAGAGCTGCAATTACCAATATGCGCCATCTCTCACTTGCATTCTCTTACACACACAAATGCATACTATGCAAACTCAATGAGACTCCATTCCACCCCACACGGCAGTCAAGCCCCCTGAGGGTGGCCGTGTGGGACTGGTTCCCAGCTGGCCACTTGAGTAAATGGCTCTTGGCCCACTTGCCCCACCCTTGTTGTCCCTCTTGGTGACATCGGACGTGTTCTTCCCTCAAGGTTTTCCACTTTCTTAGGGGGAAGATAAGAACTCGGGCCTGCACTGTACATTTCAGACGCTCAGAAACCCTCAGCATTAACTTCCGGCCCCCAACTTCCGGCCAGCTCACACGTGTACCTCCATCTGGTCGTATCAGTGGTACAGACCTCCCATCACTGTCCAGCAGATGTTAATTGAAAATTAACAGAAGAACACCATTCTCCGATTTCCGCAGGGGCCTAAACGCTCAGCCGTTTTAATTATCCAGTGGTGGGGGAGGGGGAAGGGGATTCTGCAGTGTCCAGTCCAGTGGAGGGGTTCCCTGGCCAGGGGGCTCGGGGTTACTGATAGCTAGAATGCATAAATATTAAAAAAAAATTCAGACTTCTGCTTTTACGTTTCTAAAGTTTTTAAAAGTCTGCAGCTGCAGCAGGTACAACAGCATGTGCTTGTAGTGCCGGCTACTCAGGAGGCTGAGGCAGAAGGACTGCAGGCTTGGGTCAGCTTGGGCAGTCAGCCAGCCTGTGTCTTCAGATGTTAAATGGGTTGGGGCCGTGGCCCAAGGGCAGAGTATTTGCCTAGCACGTTGGAGACGTTGGCTGGACAGAATCCTCAGCACTGCAAAAAGCTGAATAAATAAAATTAAAGCTCATGGCTGAGGAACTGTCGTAACAGCCGAGGGTCTTGGTTTGAAAAAGAAGAATGGGCTCGATGCCAGAGAAAGTAGGTTATAAGGTTTATGTCACAAACGGCAGGTTGTGAAGAAGTAGGTGAAACCCTTACCCCCGTGTGCCCCTTACACCCCACACCCCAAAAGCCGATGAGGGATGGGCCACCTGCAGTGGAGGAGGAAGAGGTCAGTGGGCAGGAGCAGACCTGGGAGTCAGGTGAGGCGTGGGCACCAAGAAGCCGGAGGCGCTGAGCATGTACGCATCAGTCCCAGCACTCCAGGAGGCTGAGGCGGAGGCATGCAAAGCTCAAGCTCAGCCTTGCAATGTAGCAAGATCCTGTCTCAAAAAATAGAAAAGAAATGGACAGTGCCAGGGATGTAGCTCCACGGAAAGATGTTCTTTCCTCAGTGCCATTGGAGGCAGGGGGCAAAGAGGAGGAGGGGCAGGGGCAGGCAGTGCCCACTGGTCACCGGTTGCCAGCCTGGTCTGTGTCAGAATCCACAAGAGCTGTGCATCTGGCAGGGGAGGGGAGCCGCAGAAGCCATGGGGCTGCTCATGCATCCTCCCACCCGCCGGGGCACCCCCCTTCTGTCAGGGGAGCTATAAGGAACTGAAGCCTTTACAGTTACAGAATACTGCTTATTGCCAGCAAAAAAATAATGTCTGTTACAAAAAATAATGTGGATATTTGAAAAGAATAGAGCCAGTGTGGTGGCACACACCTGTCATCCTAGCATTCAGGAGGCTGAGCGGAAGGATTGTCACCAGTTCAAGCCAAGCCTAGGTTACATAGCGAGATCCTGTCTCGAAAATAGAGTATAAAGTAAAATAGAATAGGGTTCCATCATCCACTTACCCAGGGAAAATCGCTGTTGTGGGCTCAGTCCTTCTAGATGCTTCTGTCTGCTCGGAATATAAATTTTAGTTACGATCTAGATTGCAGTCTCTCCGAGATCAAGTACTGTATCTTGTTTTCTTTAGTTCCAGTACCAAAGGCAATAATGGATGCATAAACGATGTTTAAACAGTATTTGTTTAATCATTTTTTAAATTTTGGTTTTTTGAGCTGGGGTCTTCAGTCAGCATTCCAGACTAGCTTTTAACTCAACTGTGTGGCCCCGGAGTAGGCATCATCCTGGCTCAGCCTCATGAGTGTCAAGATTACAGATGTGTGCCACCATGCCTAGCTTAATTAGTTAATTAATTTTTTTGTACCAGGGATTGAACTCACGACCTCGAGCTTGCCTGGCTGGTGCTTATGCTGCTGAGCTAAATCCCTAGCCCCTCAATTAGTTAAATTTTATATGTCCTTTTTGAGATTGAAATCAGGGACTTTCTATCAGCAAGCTACACTCTCAGACCCTTATATTTTTTATTTTGAGACAGGATCTTGCTAAATTTCCAGGCTGGCCTGGAATTCACCATCTCCTGTTTAGTCTCTGGAGTAGCTAAGATTATAGGCATGTACCATCATGCCCAGTTTGATTAATTAATTTTTGAATGAAAACTGTCTCAAAATGCCAGTAGACCAAAGAATCTATTTTCAATTATTATTGCAAATGACTTTTTGGACACTGTGTGAATCTCAGGCCTCCTAAGTGTTAGGGCAGGAAATTTCTTGGGGTTGAGAGGGAGAGTTTTGAATCCTACAGCTAAGAGCCCCCAGCCAGAGCTGGACATGGTTGTGTGTGCCTATAATGCTAGCACTTGGGAGGCTGAGGCAGGAGGATTGCCATGAATTCAAGGCCAGCTTGGGCTACTTAGTGAGTTTAAGGTTAGCCAAGCCCCAGACAGGTCTTTAGGTGACAAGTGACCCAACACATTTTCCAAGACTTTGTCCCTTCCTCCTTCGGGCAGCTCAATGCACCTTTGTTAAGCATGGTGCAGCCAGCATGTGTCCAGGTCCAGGTCCAGCAGGAGTAGTTAACAGGAGGAATATAAACTGCCTTCTTCCTTTTCTCTGTAGGCTCCCTTCAGTCTCCCTGACCACTGTGCTGGCCACCAGCTCCCACCTGGGATGCTCCTGGTTCCCTTATCAGCCACTTCCTAGGGCAAGGGAGCCAGGACTGGACAGAGGCCTTGCCTGGACCCCTGCCTCTGCCCATCCTTTCCGCCTTCGCCCTCATTTTCTGGCTCCTTCTCCTGCCACCTCCTCAGCCCCAAGCCTCGTGGAGCTGCACTGTCCAGGCAGCAAGGGCTCCTCCCTGTCATCATGATCCATGTGGGAAACTGCTCAAGGTCACAGAGCAGGTCCGGCCCGGCCCGGGAAGCCAGACTGAGCCTCCTTCCAGTTCTTCGAGCACAGAGCCCAAGCTCTGCAGCCTCCAGGGAAGGAGAGGGGAGCCCCCACTGCGGACGCTGGGAACAGCTGACGCCACGGGGGCCTCTTCTTCCTCCTCTTGCTCTTCCTCCTCCTCCTTCTGGGTCTCAGTCCAGTGTCTGCTTTGCCACGAGGCCCTGGTGCCCTGGCTGGGTGGTGAATTCTGGGGTGGGGAGGGGAGTAGCAGCAGAAGGGGCCGGCTCAGAACAAATAGGGCTCTGTAAGAAGGCTGGAATCTGCCACCTGCTGGCTGGATTCAAGTTTCTAGCAGATTCTTCTGGTCTTTCAATGTTGCTGTGATCACTGTGACCTTGAAATCCAAGCTCTCTGTCCTCAGGGACCCCACCTCCCTCCTCCCACTGAAGTCCCAGCTGTTAACCCCATTCCCACCAGCAGCCCAGCCAAGGGCGGGGGTTGTGTATGTAGTGGGCTCTGGCTGCACCAAGGGACATTCCAGGCAGTATGACAGGACTAGAGCTTCCTAGGACCTGCAGACCTAACCCTACAGACGGTCATCTCTCTCTGAGTCGGGCTGAACCTTTTGTGCTTGTTACTGAGTTCCCAGAGAAGACAGGCTGCAGGTCATTGCCAAATAGCAAACACATGGAGGGCCAGGAGCTTCTGCCAGCCTCCCAGTGGGAGACTGTGCCCTCCCTGCACTGCAAGCCTGAAGGCCCCAGGGGGATTGAGTAATGCTTCCTCCCGCCAAGGTAAGGGTCTTTGTCTGTGCCATCACCGCAGCCCTTCCATGGAGGAGCAGGGGGCAGGGCTGGGAGGGGTTTGCAGCAGGAAGTCATTTCCTACAGTGAAGGAGTGGCCACATCCTGCAGGGCCCGTAGGCACTTAGCATGCCTGCCCAGAGCCAGGAAGATCTAAAAACACCTGAGCCGCACTGGGTGTGGCGATCCTCCTGGCTCAGCCTCCAGCCTGCTGCACCGTGCCTGGCCTCTCCCAAATCTCTAGATTTCAAGCTGTATGTAGGCTACACCCTAACTGGCAAAGGACCAGCATAACACACCAAGCACAGACTCTTCCCTGGCATATGAAGAACTGTGAGGACACAGACAGGAATGGGGAGTTGGTGAGTCACTGGATGAGTGCTGTGGGGGGAAGTGGGCCACTGGGATTGGAGGGGGAGCAAGGTGAACCCTAACCTGACTGAATGTACTATAATAAGTAATAATCGACGAGCTATCCAGTGAGCCCGGAATTGAGGATGGGGGAACAGAGATCAGTGTCAGGGGTCTGGCTCCATCCTCCCCAGCACCTGAGGAGAATCAGCTTATGAGCACTGGGCTGCCAAGGAACTCAGTTTCCTTCAAATCTAGGCTTTGCGAATTTGTGGGTCCTATGGGAAGCTGATCTCCACTTCCCTCTTCCTGGTGAACCTGTTTGACCACTCAGGCTACACAATGGCTTGGTGTTGGGGACCTTTCAACAGCTGCCACAATGCAAACCTAAGATGTCCACCAGGAAGGGACCCTAGGAATTGGCCCCACCCCTCATTGTATAGAGGGGGAAATCTGTGCAGAGAGGAAAGGTGGCTTATTCAGTGTCATACAGGCCTCTCCTGTGGCCTCTCACTTCCTCTTCACCCTGTCCTCCTCTGCTCCCAGGAAGCCTGGGCTTGCGGTGGGGCACAGGTGCACACCCTCCCTGAGACACCATGGGTCCCGCTGGCCTCCTGGGACAGGACGGGCTCTGCCCTGATCCGGGCCTTCTGTGGCCCTAGACCCAGAAGAGCCATATCCCCAGGGCTGACTTTCCTGGACACCAGTGCAGCAGAGCCATGCAGAGCAGCCTCACAGACCCGCTGGGTCAGGGCTTTGGAATTACAGTCACGGGTACGTGGACCACCATCCGGATGTGAGAGGCTGGTCTCCCCAGACCCCTGACAGCTGCTGAATAACTGGGAGCAGATCTCAACTGGGGGTGATTTTGATATCCTAAGGGACACTAGGTAATACATGGGACTTTTTTGGTTGTCATGACCAAGTAGGGTTGGCACAGCATCTGACTGGCAGAGGCCAGGGATCCTGTAAACTTTGCATGGTGCCCAGGATAGCACTGTCCTCCCCAGCAAAGAATCATCTGGCCCAGAAACACCAACAACAGTGGCCAAACGAGTGAGGAGTGACCATGTCTCCTCAGATCCGGAGCCCAGCTATCATTCCAGAGGCAGAGGGGCTGTGGGGGTGTGTGTGTTAATCTTCAAGGCACCAAAAGCAGGAGCCACCCAGGGTTCCAAGGAGATGGCCATGCCCAGGTGCAATAACTTGAAAACATTTTATTTCAATTCTATCCTTAGGAGGCAGCATAAATAATCACAGAAGACCACAAAGGTCAGTGGGAAAGAAAAAATAAAGCTCTGGGAGTGGGGGGAGGCAATGAGAGCTGGCACCACCTATTGCAGGAGGGCAAGGAGACCCTGTGCTCTGGCCAGGATGGCGGCGGGGGGGGGCTCCTTCCCGCTCCCCAGGGGTCTCTGTGAACAGGACTCCTGCAGGAGTCCATGGGAAGGGCAGGCATGGAGTGTCCCCTGTCCAGCAGTTTCCAGCCAGTGAGAGACAGGGCAACACCCATTTCTAAGTCCCCAGATTCCCCCACACTGAGACTTTTCTGAGAACAGTGCTTTAGGTTTCAGCATGGATGTCGAGAAATGCAAAGAGAAAAAGAGGAGCAAAGAAATGAAAAGGTGCAGATGACCAGATGAAACTCGGCACCCTCCTGCGCCGTGCACCCTGGGGCCTCTTCTGTGTCCTCGGCTGCACGATGGGGTAGAGGTGAGGCTTGGTGACATCCAAGGGGTCAAAGAACTGAGTAAAGTTTAAAATGCTGTCCGATGAGGGTGGCTGTGGTCATTCCATGTGCGTAAGGCTGAAAGTGGCTGAGAGTATGGCGGGGAGACACATGTGGGTCCCCAGAAGCCATCAGACCCTGTTCTGCAAGCCGAGGGCCATGCTCTACCCTTCTCAGCCTTGGTTTCCAGAGGAAGAGGCCACATCTCAGATGGAGTCCCCTGGGGGTGGAGCCAGGGGTGCAGGCCAGGAGGGTCCAGGGCCACCAGGTGCCCTCAACGGGGCAGTGTGGCACATTGGCACTACTGGTATCGACTGATGGTAGAGTCTGCTTCAGCTCTCATCCTGGGGAAGCCTGTGGGGACTGGCATCTGGATGCAGGGGAGGTGGTCTGGCCTTGGGGTCTGGACACCCCGGGCCCACAGTTGACCTGCTGGGTGACTTAGTACATTGCTCCCCATTGCAACCCTCAGTTGTGTGGTTTGACAAATGGGGACGTGAATCCCTACCCTTCCCAGCTCGCGGGTCCAGTGGGAAAAGGTGTGCAAGAGCTTTAACGAGAGTCATGGGAAGGCAAGGGTGGTTATGGCCTTAAGAGAGCGTCCTCTTTGTTCCCTGAAGACAAAGGCTGCCACAGGGAGAGACGGAAAGGTGAGCCAGACTTCCAAGACTGTTGGGGCACAGTCTTGGGGTGGGGGTGGGGGGACCCTGACCCGTGATCCAGCCCCACACCACAGGTCCAGCAGGGACCTGAAGCTGGGAGCTGCCCACATGTCCGGCAGCCCCTTGGCAGGGAAAAGTTCAAGTCCTAAATTGAGCTGGGATCCCGCATCCCGCTCTGTCCCTGGTCTGTGGTGGGTACCCCTTGTGGAGTACGTGGTCCTGGGAAAGGGGTGTGGGTGGGGTCCTCCGTGAGAGGGTGGGGACTAGGATTAGCGGCAGCTCAAGGAGGTCAGGAGGTCAAGGGTCAGCTTCCAGTTCTTGAGGTGGAAGGTGGGGTCCTCGGGCTGGCGACCAGCTCCAAAAGTCCTGGCTCTGTCTCCAGGGCTGCTGGATAAGGGGATGTTGAGGGACGGAGTAGAAACCACGGAGGGATCCACTTGGAGAGCAGCTCGGAGGCTAACAGTTCTTGGGGCTGTTGCACAAGTTTTTCAGTTCCAGCTGGAGCTGCCGAATGCGGATGTCCTTCTGTGCCAGTTCCTCCTTCAACCGCCGGATCTCGTCCTGCTGCCGGAAGAACATCCGGAGGAGCTGGGTGCCGGGGAGAGAGAGGTGACAAGGTTCAGGAGGGGTCTCAGACACCCCACCACGCTTACCTTTCCCAGCTTCCCATCCTCCTGGCCGGGCTCCCACTGTGGGTCGTGCTTCCCTTCTTGAGGTAGGAGGAAAGAAACTCTAGCCTCCCAGACTCCCTGCTCCATCCCTGAAAGGGGTCCAGACCTGAAGATCTCCTTACCATCCTTTTAGCATCCTACATGAAAAACTTTCTTAGGGTTTTGTATTCTCTCTGGGATAGCATCCATTTCCTTTGCATTGGGTATGTCCCCAGGCCTTTTGAGACAGTTTTTCTAAGCTGTTAGATTGCCCGGATTGGGCTGAAAGTGGCAATCCTCCTGCATCAGCCTCCCAGCATGCTGGGATTACATGCATGCATCACACCCGGCTTGCATCCTCCTCTTACTAAAGAGATTCAGAGGACAAAATGGAACCTAGTTGTTCTGTTTTGATTTGGTTTGCTTTGTTTTATAATGCTGGAGGCCAACAGAGGACCTCACATATGCTAGGCACACACTGTACCACATCCCTAGCTCTAAAAGTTAGCTTTTAAAACACAAGACTATACCAGAAACACTAGAGATGTCACTGGCAGTGACCCATTTATTGCAAGGGCCTGGACAAAGCATGGTGTCCTGGAAAATCCTTGCTCAGGCCTTCCTTGATGGACCAATTTCTCCATTTCTTCTGTCAGACACATCCTTAGGTGGTCACAAGCACTGTGCCTCAAGGCTGCAGGCTATGCATAGATCTCCGCACACAAGGATTGAGTGTCCCCCAAAGCCACCTGTGTAACTGTGGGAATTACATGTGCTACTATAATTGCATAAATTTTTTTTGAGCTATGTAGCCCAGGCTGGCCTGGAATGTAAGCAAATCCTCCTGCCTCAGCCTCCTGGGTGCTGAGATTACAGCATGCACCACCAAGCCCAGAATTTTTGTCCTTATAGTAAATAATTATCTGCACTGCCACAATCTCAAAACTTCTTTGCATAGACTGTTAGGTGCATTTTTATCATAAAGCAGCCTCACTAAGGTATAATTTGTATACCATAAAATTCACCATTTTTACTACAAACATGTACTAATAAAAACAAGCACTTTAAAAATTCAGCATCTAAGCCTACAGCTCAATGATTTTTAGTCAGTTACTGAGCCACGGAATGGAAATCACACTCTCAGCCCCAAGCTCTCATTGGTTACCCTCAGTGGGCTGTGATGCTTAAAACTACAGGTAGCACCAGGGGCCACAGCTGAAGCAAACGCTTTCCCAAGAGGAAGGTGCCTGGCATTGGTGCAGAGAGACCCTGCTGTCTACCTGGTCTGTACAGAGAGCCCTGGACGTCTCCCCCAGGTTCTCAGCTCTGATTCACACACCCACGAGGACAGCAGTGTCCCTTGACATTCTAGCCTGCCTCCTCGGGATCCATGCCACAGTATAGCTGAGTTCAGGCCTCACCGCTGCCCAGCTGTGCTGCTGCAGCTCACATACAGCAGCTCAATCCACAGAAGCTGGGGGAAAGCGAACATCTGTGGCTTTACATCATTCAGTTCTGGGGTAATTTGTTACGCAGCAGCAGATAGCTGATACAGCTGGCCTTTTTCCTGGAACATTTTATATAGATTATCTTTCTAATACACACTGAACTTTCTAGCTCCATTTTTCCATGAGGAAATGGACGTAGAAGAGTCAGGAACCTTGCTCAGTCACAGGGAGGAGGTGGAGGAACCAGGATTCGCATGCAGATGGCTGCGCGTGGCACACGGCTGAGCTGAGCTGCCCAGGCCTGGGGGAAGTGCACTGGAAGATCAGACAATGCCCAGCTCTAGGTGCCCCTCAGTGCGCTTGGTTGCCCCCCATGTGGTACACAGGGCCTTTCCTAAATAGCCAACCTCTTCCACGAGACCAGCAATTGTCACACACAGTTCATGCCTGCCACAGTGCCAGCGAGAGAGGCACAGCCAGGATGGACAATGCCCACAACAGCAACATCCTGCCATGGCTTCTCAAGGCAACGCCAACTGTGAGTTTGTCCATCTGAGAGCAGGTTGCATGGCCATACCTATGTGACACCCCAGCCTCTATTTATTGAGGTCAGAGGCAGTGCAAGCTGACCACGGCAGGCTACTTATGGTATTTGTCACCAAAAGACAAATGCCTCTGAGCGTGGCTGGCTTCCTTCCTTCCGGCCTGAAGCCTGTAATTGAAATGTAAAGGTCTTGTTCCTCCAGGGCCCATAGAGATGATAACTTATGTCCTTTACCTCGTTCTCTGTCCTGGGTGGGACGTTTTCTAATAAATCTATGCCGTTGACCACGACACTCTTCTTTTCTCTGATGGGAGCTTTGAACACTACTTTGGAGGACCTCTTGTAGCCTTCCTTCAGGGACATCAGCACGGGGTCTAGGAAGCAGGAAAGGCGTCACACTGACCACTGCTGGAGGGGGGCGGGTGTCAAGGGCCGTGGGAGGGGGCATGCAGGAGGGGAGAGTGAGGCCTGGACAGGGGGCGGCTCTGGCCTCTTCTCTGAGGTACCTCGGTTGATGCCACCCAGCCACTCATCCGGGGTCAGGGCTGGCTCCGTGCCTGGCGTCATGGGGTATATGTCTTCCTGGTAGGAATCCGACTGCAGGGGCAGCAGCGGGGAGTGAGGCGGCCCTGCCCCGGCCAGATTCCCACCCTCAACGCTTGCTTTCCTGCCTCCCAGCCTTGCTCTCCAGGTCCTCCCCTCAGCCACTCCTCACCCAGTCCCCGAGGTCCCCACAGCAGTGACTCCTGCCTCCCACTCCAGGTTGGGCCTGAATCCAGGCATCTCTCTTGGACACTGGTGAGTGGACCCTGGAGCCCTACTCACCCTCCGAGGCACAATCATAGAGATAGGCTCGATCAGGCCCTTGAGAGTCACTAGCTTGTAGAAGCGGAACACCTCGCAGGCTGACACATCCAGTCCGTGTTTGGGCATGACTCCTGTGGGGAGACACACGGCTCCCTGGGGGCCTGGCCAGTGCCCCTGGATCCCCCTGGCCCCTGCCTTGTGTCCTCTGCCAAGCACAGGTTGAGGTCTGCGGGGTCACCCATGCGAAGGGCAGAGATGGCAGGAACTCAGCTCTGGGGAGAGATGAGTGGGGTTTGAATCTGGATGCTGCCCTTCCTAGCTGAGAGGCCTTGGCCACATCACTGGCTTTCTGAGCCCCCTGGGGTAGTGCCACATGAGGCTCTGGGGATGCTCACTGCCTGCCTGGCCTGTTGGTGAGCACAGCCAGTGCCCTGTCTTTCCCTGGATTGAGAGTACTAGACAGGGTTCAGGGCTCCCTTGGGATAGAAGCTGCTCCTCTAGACGGTAAATTCCAGGAGCTGCAGAGCTGGGCTGTGAGCCAGAGGTCTGGATCTGGACTCTCATTTCCTCCTGCAGTGCTGGGGACAAAATGCAGGGCCCAGGCATACCAGGGGAGCGTCCTGCCGTCGACCTCCATCCCCACGCCCTTCCTGTGTGCTGTTTGTTTGGTTTTGGGACAGAGTCACTCTAAATTTTTCAGGCTGGCCTTGAGCGTGTGTTCCCCCTACCTCAGCCTCCCAAGTAGCTGGGATACTTGTGTTCAAACCCATGCACCTGGCTTAGGTTCAAATTCTGTTTCTGCCACACTGCAGCTCTGCGGGGTGAGTTACTTTATTTCTCTGAACCTTTGAAAAGAGCCTGGCTCTCGGTCAGTATGACTAGGCTTCTCCTCTGCTCCTGGATCCAGCCCTCCTCCCACTTGCACCTTGTACCTTCTTCCTAAAAGGACACGGGGTTGACAGAGTTCGGAATGAGGAATGGTCATTAGGACCTCAAATGGCTCCAGGCCCTTTCCTGTTGGCCACCAAGGAAAGAAGGGGATTCTCTGTGTCCCTGACGCTGGCCCTCACCCTGCCCATGACACCAGACGCACAAAGGGTACAAGATGGACTTCACTCTAAGGAGGAGCATCACCTGCACAGGCAGAAATGGGCCACTGGAAGATTTGACCCACAGGATGACTGGGACTCCTGCGTGTTCCTTCAGGGTCACAGGTACTGCCAGTGTAGGTGGATAGGAATAAAAATGTCTCTTCAAGACTGAAGACTGTCTGTCCAGCTCTCCAGTCCGCAACCCCAGCCCCAGTCCGCACTTAGCCTGAGAACCCGGGCTGTCCGGGGCTGTCAGCTGTGATGGTGACCGGAACCACTTCCTACTCAGCAGTAAGGACAGAGCTGCAGCTGAGGACGAAACGTCAGTCCATTCTACACTTGGTCTCCCCTGTGTGACACTAGACACAAAGGCTGCCAAAGGACAACACCCACCGAAGGCCAGGGACCTCTTCAAGGGGCAGAGCTGTGGGTCAGCAGCCAAGGTCCAGGCTCCAGTGCGACAACCCCTGGCCCTTACCTAGGCCTTTCTGTGGGGCTGGGGAGCGGAACTCCATGAGGTAACTCAGGTAGGGCTTTTCCGTGCTGATCTCATAGTACCGGATGTTCCCGTCACCCTAGGAAGGTTGAGAGGGGGTAAGGGGTTGCCCGCTTGCTCGTTTGTTTAGACACAGGGTCACCATGCAGCCCAGGCTGGCCCTGAACGTGCAGCCTCCTGGGAGCTGGGATTACAGGCTCCTCATGCTACTCTGCATGCATGCAGACCGCTTTTTGACAAACAAGGCTGAATTCATCCAAGATCTCTGGAAGAATGTTCCCAATCCCATCCCTGTCACCTCCACTGGGCTTCAGGCTCTAATCTTTATCCCACCAGCAAACCCCACTCCAACTCACCTTGAAGGAACACTCAGTCATTCACCCTTCAGTAAGAGCCAGTGTCAGACTCAATGGGAGGGGAGCCCAAGGCCCCAGGGACCCAGAGACATTTGGCTGGCTCTTGCCCACTGGGACATAGGGTTTCCCCTGGGGTCCCTCCCCTCCCTCTGCCCTTCACTACCTTTCCAGCCAGGTAGAGCATGTGAGTGTCAGCATCATAGAAAGGGAACAGGAGGCCGGACAGCCCGTCAATCTCCTCCTCAATCAGTGGCATGGACAGATCCTCCTATGGGAGGGAGGAAGGTGGGTTAGCCCGGTTCCAGGCAGGAAGGTGTGGTACTGTCCTAGACCCCAGCCAGTGCCCCACAACTACAGCCTCTTTATGTTTTATTGATTTTTCTTTTTTCTTTTGTTTTGAGACAGGATCTCACTATGTAGCCCAGGCTGGCCTCAAACTCTCAGCGGTCCTCCCGTCTCAGCCTCCAGGTGCAGGGGTTACAGACCACACCTGCCTCCCCTCTGATGTTAAAAAGCCTATCCCATAGCAGGTGATGGCTGTGTTCTTCATCACAGAGAATGATTTAGAGGCCTGACCTCAGTGTCCCCTCCCCTCCCCGTACTCACTAATGGCTATATATCCCCAAGCGAGGCTCAGATCTCTCTGGAGCTCAGCCCAGATTCTGAGAAAATCCCGTTGGGAGGGTACCAAAGCCCTCCTGGGCCCATGCGTCTCCTCCCATCCCACCATGCAGCCGAGGGGCAGCCCTCTCCCCACAGCTCCTCTTCCCATGCTTGATGTGGCAAGAGGTAGTGGGTGGAGGGTGGGAGGAGGCCAGAACCAGGCGGCCCCACTGGGACCTGGAGCCCAAGCCTTAAGCCGTTCTCACACCCTGTGGGAAGCAGAGACCCTTCTGTCCCTCCACTGCTGCCACTGACCTGGTCCCAGAGAGCGATCTGTCTCGTGTTCCACCTGGAGACCCCAGTGGTGAGGAGCCGCTTCATGTTGCCCAGGAACACCACCCGGTTCACCCTGTGGTTTTTGCAGTTCGCCTCCTGGTGGGGACAGAGAGTGAGTGAGCAGGGACCCCCCCAAGACTTGGGTACTGTCATGCTGATGGTGGTTCCCCCTGAAGACGCCCTTGTCCAATCCAAGACAGAATGTTTCTTTACGTGGCAAAAAGATCCTTGCGGATGTGACTAACATCGCTGGCATGAGATTTCCCTGGGTCAGGCCGGGGCCTTGAAGGCCATCCTGAGGGTCCTTGTAAGAGAGAGACACACAGAGGAGGAGAAGCATGTAGTGTCACAGCCAAAAGCCAAGGAAGCCGGAAGAGCAGGGAACAGGTTCTGCCCTGGAACCTCCGCAGGGGCAGCCCTGCAACACCTCCCACCACAGCTGTGAAAGAGCAAGAGTCCCTGTGGCTTTCAGCCACCCAGTTTTGGTTGGTCTTTACGGCAGCTTCATGAAACAAACAACTGCTGAGGAGCAGCGGAGCCCGGCCCCAGAGGCCAACCCTCTGGTGTTTCCCACAGCAGTGGGAGCACAGGAAGGACGGACCGACCTCCACCTGATCCCATCGGGACCCACCACATCGGTGGTGCTCTCTCTCCCCGGGGGGCACCTACTCCTCACAGTGACACACCTGGAAAGCATTTCATCTGTTTCTCACCCGACTTAGCCCTACCGGATGGTTAATTTTGACTGACAAGAAGAGAGATTCCCAGGGAGTTAACACATTTCTGGGTGTGTCACGGAGCTGTGCCCTTGGGAACTCTGTAGGGTCTCTGGTCCCTTCCTCTCTGGCCCTTTTCTCATTATCTGTTTCCTTCTTCACCAGGCCCTTCTGCCTCGAAGCTGCCCAACCATGGACTGAGCCTCTGAACCCGTGATCCAAAATGAACCTCTTCTCCTTTAAATTGTGCATGTTTGATACAAACAGCCACAAAAACCTAACACACTCTATGACTGACACACAGTAGGTGCTTGGGATATGGTCGTTGCTCTCTTCCAAACGACAGCAAATCTTTTAAGGCAGAAGATCCAAAGCTCAAGAACAGAGCAAGGTAGATTTTGCCCTGAGCCATTTTCCCCAGGCTCAGCCAGGCAGAAGTCTGGGCAGTGAGCCCCAAATCGCTTGTCCTGCACCTGTGATGGGACTTGGTTAACACCTGGTGATCTGTCCCACCCAGGGAAGGGGGCTGCAATGGGGACAGAAAAAGGATCTGGGATGCATCCCAGGCAGGAGGGCTCCCTGGACAGGTGGGCTGGGAAGAGGAGCCTGGCCTAGGCATTCCCTCCGGGCGAGGCCAGCAGCCTGGCCCCTATTCCCAAACCTTCCCTTCTCCACCTCAGAACAATGCTGGCTCCACCTGCAGAACACGGCCAGAGCGGGGCTCAATCACACGAAGTTTTTTGTCCTTGCACGTGGTGGTGAGCAGGCTGCCATCCGTGTTGAAGGACATGCAGAGGATGACATCTGTGTGGCAGTCAATCATCTTCACGGGCTCGCCCACATCCAGGTTCCAGATGAGGACCTGCAAAGGCCAATGAGCCAACATTGGTCCTCTCCCAGGGGCCCTGGGCGCAGCAGAGGTCACAAAGTGTGGGTGGGGTATGGGTGTGGGGTGGGGATTCTCATCAGGCCCCGCAGGCCCCGTGGGCTGCAGGGACAGCGGGAGGTGTGCAGTGTCACGTGGGTTGGGGACCAGGTAAAGGGTCCCCGCAGGCCCTGGAAAACCCCTCCGCCCACCCTGTCTCCCCCGCCCGCTGCCTCTTGGCCTGGCCACACACCTTATAGTCATAGCCGGCACTGAAGAGGATGTTGTTGGTTGTGGGGTGCCACTCGACCAGCCCCACCCGCCGGCTGTGGCCGTGCAGCTGCAGCAGCGCCTCTGTCATGTTCCGCTTCAGCCCCCCTTCGGGGATCTCCCAGATCCGTACCTGCAGAGGGGGGCGGCAGGCATTGGCCAGGTGTGCAGGAGCCTGAGGTGCCAACGGTGGCCCCTTCCTGGTTCAGAGCACTGGGCGGGGCACCACTGAGGCCTGGAGGGAGGTCCCAGGGGTGAAGAGAGGGGACAGAGGCCAGCCCTCTAGCCTCAGGGTGCAGTTGTCTCTGTGGGTATCTGCCGGCCTGGCCTGCTACTCTTGCGTATCTCAGGTCCAGGTTGTGAACACCCAGCCTGTAGCAAGTGTCAGAGTAAAACATGGGCTGTTCTTCCCACCTACACGCTCCCGAGACCCTGTCTTCCTTGCACACTCCACATCCCCCCCAGGTCCCATGTGCCACTCCATGGCCTTGTCCCCTGCTCCATCCCCAACCAGGATGGCTGAGGGCAGAGTGCCAGGAGGCCTGAGACCCGGGTCTGTGCTGAGCTGATGGCTCAGGGGCTAGGGGTCAGGACAAGCAGAGCTCGGGCAGCATTGCTATTTTTGGTCATGTGGATGCTGACATAGAGGCAAAGAAAGGTGACCTTGGAGGGAAGGATGGGACCCGCAGGGAGCGGCAGGGAGCAGGATCACATGGCCCATGTGGGAAACGGAGCCCTCTCTCCGCAGTCCCCAAGCAGCTCCTCATAAGCCAACGACATTGCCTCTGTGGGCTCCTGTCACTGAAACCAAGTTCACGTGGAAGTTTCCATTGTGTCAGCTGTAAAGGTGGGGGGCTGGCGTGTGCCCCGCTTTGCCAGCTGGTAGCATCAATGAGATAATGGTGGCAACTACTTACAAACTGTAAAGTGCTCCGGGGAGCGCTTTAGTGTCTGTGGGACCCTCATTCTTGTTATTTTCATCACTGAAAATAATTAGAGCACACAGCAGAGAGAGCTTATGTGACCCCGATTGAGAACCGCTTTAAAACAACCTTTCTGAGACCTGTGTGGCAGTGCAAGTCTGTAATCTCACACTCAAGGGGCTGAGGCAGGAGGGTTGATGTGTGCTCAGGGTCTTCTGGACTACTTAGCAAGACCCTGTCTCAAAAACCTAAAAACAACAGCAAAAATCCCTTTGAAAATCTAAATGACAGATTATGCTAGAACTCATAGATCATTGTCGGTCACATCATAAGATTCTTGGACACGATTTGCCAGTCTTTAGTGGGAACCATGGAAGCATTATGCTCTTTTATGCAATTTCACTTTTAAAAATTCAACATACGGGGGCTGGGGATTTAGCTCAGCGGCATAAACGCCTGCCTTGCAAGCAGGCAGTCGTGGGTTCGATCCCTGGTACCAATAAAAAGGAAAAAGACAAAAAAAAAAAATTCAACATACATATGCACTATGTATACCACACACACACACATACACACACACCACCATATACTATTCATGCATATGCCATGCACATGGCACATACAGCACACCACACATATTGCACACATGTATTACAAATGACACAGGCATGAAGATATTCACTGCCACACTGCCAATAAAGAACATGCCGAGCACACTGAGTGACCAGTGCGAGGGGAACAACATAACATGCTCTGCGAATCCATGGCCGTTACCCTCCTTCTAACCCTCATGGACAAATTCAGGGAAGCTGAAGGTAGAGCTAGGCTTGGGGACCAGGCTGGGGACCACAGAGCTCCTCAGGAAGTCCTATGCCAGTGCCCACCACGAAGGGGCCTCCCCATCCCAGGTACACGTGAGTGTGTCCCTCCCTGGTGTCGGCTAAGATCCAACTCACATGCCTGTTGGCTGGGAGGCTTGGGGGTAGAAGACGGGGTTTCATCCAGAATCTTGGGGTCCCTCAAGGGACTCCCCTTGGTGCCTGCAAATCAGTTTCAAAAGTCCACTCAAAAGTTGTTTGTAATTAGGGAACAGTGGAAAATGCTCTCCTGGCTCCAGAGCCCCATCATGAATGCCCCGTGGGTGCTCCTGCCCACCAAGAAAGACCCCACCATGCTGTCTGATGGAGGAGGGGACACCGAGTGACAGGAGGGCCTGGCGTGCCCTGTGAGGTCTTCAACAGGCCCCATGTGGGGCATTCGGGGTGAGCCTGGGCCTGGCAGAGGTGGGGGACTGGGGCAGGCACCAGAGAGGCACGTGGGCCTTTTGTTCCCAAAATGCATGACTGGAGAGTGACCCTGGAGATGGGCAGATGTTGGACTGGACATTGTGATCACACAGGCACACTCATACCATGCACCGTTCACACCTACCACATGACAAAAACCACACACATTACATATATACACATCCTACACCACACATCACCCACATCGTATACCACATATACCATGAACATACCACTCCACACATGTCCCACACACAATACATCACACGTGCAATGCACACACAGGGCACCGCATACATCATATACCATATACCCCACACACATGACCCACTTGTTCACGTAACACATAAATATACCACCCGCCACACAAAAGCCATGCCACACATCACACACATGTACCATTTACCACACACACATACAGATGCCACATACCACACGTCTGCCAAATGCCCACCACACACACATATACCACACCCACATACAAACACATCACACAGAGAGCATACACCACATATACACACACCCCTCACATATCAACACCACATACATGCTTTTTTTTTTTTTTTACTCAAAAAGGATACCATTATACCTGCTTCTCAGCATGCTTTTTTCATGGAATTCCAGGTAGCAGGCATCTTTCCACACCATTGTGTATAGATCCAGAGATGTCTGCCATGTGAGTGTCTCAAGATGAACACGGTGAACCTCTCTTGGCCAGGTGCAGTGGCATGGGACTTTAATCCCAGCACTCTGGGAGACTGAGGCAGGAGGGTAGACAGTTCTAGCTCCCTGGGCAATTTAGTGACTTAGCAAGACCCTGCCTCAAAATAAAAAATAAAACCTAGGGCTAGGGCTAGAGGTCAGTGTGAGAGCCCTGGGTTCAGTTCTCAGCACTGCAACAAAAACACAAAACACGCACTGCATTCCTGAGTGAGCGTTCCAACAGTTGCCCTGGTTTTGTTCTGTGCCTCTCAGACAGCACCTTTTATGAAGCAATTTTCGGGGTAGCTCAGTGGCAGAGCGCCCGATTGGTCCCAAAGGCCACTCACCATAGTCCAGATTTGCATTTCTGGGCATCACCTGGTGCTTATGGCCACCTTGGTCTGCCCTTGAGGGGGTCTTGTGGCTTTATTGAGCACCCTTCTTGGCTGCCTCCCCCACAGAAACCAGCTCCCCAAGATCTGGCAGGGACCACCCGCTGTGTAAGGCAGGGAGGGCCGGAGAGGGGTGCGTTAGAAGAAGGGGTGCTGCATAAGTCTGAGAAGCTGGGCTGAGCTTGTGGGTAGGTGAGAAGACGGAAGGGGGACATGTGTGTGTGTGTGTGCGCACCCCCAAGCTGCAGGGGCTCAGGCTGCCTGGGAGGTGGCAGAGGAAGCCAGAGGTCACGTGTCACACTTCGTCACAGAGGCCTCAAGAAGCCCCGCTTGGACTGAGTCTCCCAGAATAACCTCCTTCCTGAGCAGCACAGCTCACAGAGGGGCCCCTGTCCCCCTGTGAGGCAAGGACACGGAGTGGGGGAGCCACTTCAACCCGAGGGACCATGAGCCATGGAACCTCACTGGGGCTCTTGGTCTAGAAAGTCAGTAATGGAGAGTTATGATGTTTGGAGACCCATGGGTCACACAAAACTGGGCACAAGGGCCAGGGATTTAGCTTAGCAGCACAAGCACCTGCCTAGTAAGTACAAGGTTGTGAGTTCAATCCCTGGTACCCACCCTCCCCCCAAAAAACTGGGCATGAGTCACACAAAATGATTTCCTGAGGTGACAGCTCTGTAGACAGTGGGTCAGTCAGGTGCCACCCAGGCTCCAGCCTCTGGCCTGGACCTAAAGGAGCAAAGAGCCAGAGGCAGGAGCTTGAAAAGCTGCTTTTGCTGCCAGTAGCAGAAAGAGGGTCTCAGGCAGGGCTTAGATGGTCAGACATCCCAAAGATGGCAAGACAGGCTGCCGTGTTCCCACCTGACACCTTCCCGTCCCATGGTCTGGTCTTCTCTGCCACACACCAATACAAACGCCCTCCCACGAACCTCTCACATTTCTCTAGGGTACCATGAGCTGCAAGGAGACAGCTCTGCTGCCTCTCAGCTGCAGCAAACAGTCAACCCCAGACGTGGCCAGAGTCCAAGGGAGGAGCTGGAGCTCACAGCAAGCCTAGGTCACCAGGAAAGGGAGGGACTCCAGTGGCTTGGGGATTTACTACAAAGAGTGGCTAGGAGGTGGGAGGAGCGCATGGATCTGGCCCAAGTGACTTGAATCCAACAGGAAACTCCAGAGGGTTTCTGGAAGGAAGAGGCAGGGGGATGGAGTGGCCCCAGACCATGCCTTTCCTGAGCGCCATGCTCAGAGCCTTGCTTAACGCAGTCACCCTTGATCCAGCAGAATATGGGGTGCCCCTCCCATGCCACGCAGCCTTAGCCCTGAGGGACCATTTGCAGTCCAGTTGGGAGGCAGCTGAGAAGGCCGGCTGATAAAAGCCATAAGACACATCACACACACGTGCACACATTTACCCACACACGTGCACACACACATGCATGTGGGGGAGATGCAACCTCATCCTCTGTACTCACATCTAGGCTCTGACCTTGGGGCTGTGGGACTTTGGCCAAGTTATTGGGCTTCTCTGAGTGTCAATCTCCTTATCTGAAATACAGGGACACTCACACAACACAGTTGCCATGGAGACCAAAGATAAACCTTATATATCACCAAGGCTTACTAACACCTAAGGATGCTCATTTAATGCTAAGGGTTATACACGATGTTTGCATAGGTCAGATTGTAGATATGATTTTTATTTTTGTTGCCCTCTCTGAAGTGAATATATGGTATGAAGTTTGTCTCTCTTTTATAAAATGGGACATACATTTAAATTTCAACTGGGTTGGGGGTGGCTAGCATACATAGGCCATGCCTTTGATCCTC